ACTTGGTGAACACTTTTTATACCTATAGGAGAGGTGCAGTGCAAAGTTTCATTTTGATAAGTTGATTTTCTGAGAAAATATTGCTTTTTTCATGTTTTGAACTTAGAAATATGTTGGGCGTGGAAATTATGGGTATTAGTGAACCCTGCTCACTTTTTGTCTTGTTGGATCCTATTATCAGTGAACATATCAACAGTGGTGTGATTAATTTTGACAATATAATTAGCAAACATAGGTGAACTAACATAGAAATAAATACTAATTTCCAAATGAAATCAGCATATAAAACAGAAATTTCATGTTTTACAATGGTGATTATGATAAACTAAATTCGCTCATTGAAAATACTAGGTGGAAAGAGCTATTTAGTCAAAATTCAAATGTTGACAAACATGTATTCTCTTTTATGAACACTTGAATAAATATATTAAAATATGCATTCTAAACAAAATGGTAACCATCCGTCCAAGGGACAAACCTTGGTATGATTTCAGTTTAAGAAGAGAATCTAGGAAAGTGAAAGCTTAAAAAGGAAGGCTGACTAGTGTAAAAAGGTAAATGACATTCAGGCTTATAAACATTAGAGGAACAAAGTAAATAATATGAAATGTCAGGATAATTATTTTTATTCAAACCTCTGTGAATTGCTATCAGAATAACATGCAGAAAACAAAACCTCTTACTGGAAAGGTTTACACTATGTTGTGAAAATCTCTGGCCCTAAAAACAGTATGATACGGGCGAAACTTGACAATTTTTAGTGATATTGAAAAGGCAGAGAAACTGAATAAATATGTTAGATCTGTATCAAATGTAAACAATTCAAAAACATCCAAGCCTGATTTCACACTACATACAGAGACAAAGATGAACAAACTAGTGATTTCAAGAAAAGATGCTGAAGAAATAATAAAAATGTTTGCCTGTGAACAAAGCGTCTGGCCAGACAAAATTTGTCATAAATTATTAATGAAAACTGCATGTTCTATCCGCAAAGCATTATGCAAAGACAACCTTGACAAATATATTTCAATGGAAATGAAATCAGGTCTGTTAATAGTCATAAGCACTTGGGTGTTATTCTTGAAGCCAGTGGTAATTGGTCTTGTCACTTCCAAGGTGATTTATTCAATGAGAAAACTCAAACATTTACTTTATATTTATTACTCATGATGTCATTTCTGGAGATTTGAATATGCGCTCACAACTTTATGACTTGATATATTGGACAAAGTTACTTTTGAGAGGGGAGTGTCCAGTAAGTTGTTCCCCATAGATGTAGCCGGGCTATGCAGATAAATGCAGTGGACAAAAGCGGAAGAGATTAAATAGCTTTTTGCACTTTTTATAATTATGCTACTGTTAGCATTCCAAGTGAGTTTCGAATGAATAATGGGGCCAAGATAATGATATTGTTCAACCAAATCAATATTTTGGTCTTCTTTTTCTGAAATCTATAATCATTTCCTTTTTCTTTTTAATATTTAGAGTAAGAAAATTAATCTTGCACCATTGGACAAATTTTGAAATTTGGGAGCGATAATCAGTTTTAGGGAGCTTTATGAATGCTGCGTCATCTGCAAACTTTAAATTTACTGATACTGTCATTTGTGTATAAAATGAATAAAACAGGAGAGAGCAGACAATATTGGGGGCACCAGTAGATGAAAAGGTCACAGATGATTTGATACTATTTACAGTCACAAGGGGCGGTCGGGTAGCCTAGTGGTTAAAGCGTTCGCTCGTCATGCCGAAGCCCCGGGTTCGAATCCCGACATGGGTACAATGTGTGAAGCCCATTTCTGGTGTGCCCCGCCCTGATATTGCTGGAATATTGCTAAAAGCGGCATAAATCCAAACTCACTCACTCACACTACAGTCACAAACAGGTCTGTTCACAAGAAAAGATTCTATCCTTTTAATAATATGAATTAGCAGACATGTTAGATAATTTTTGCATAAGCAGATGTTGCTTTATGGTATTAAATGCAGAGGAGAAGTCGACAAACAAGATATGTATAAATGAATGGAAGTTTCACAATCTTTGTATATATTGTTTAACAGTGTAAGAGTGGCATCCTCGACTCCTCTCCCGGGGCTGTAGGCAAACTGACGTGGATCAAGTGAATGTTCTATCTGTCTAAAAAGTAAAATTTTAACAATATGTTCTTGGCATTTCATAGGTATTGATGTTAAAACGGGTCAGTAATTAACAGAAGGATTCAGAATTTTTGTAACAGGGATAACATAAGATGTCCTCCAAAGTAAAGGAATAACATTAGTTTCGACAGAAATTTGACAGATGTTTTTGAAAATATTATTCAGTTGATTACGACATTTCTTCAACACCATACTGCATAGATTATCAGGACCTGTAGCTTTGCGGACATTTATTTTAGAAAATGATTGTGGCACATCACAAGTAGTTACTTCTAGTGTTTCACAATCGGATAAAGCATTTCTAAACAACATTTCTTTTTCTTTACTGAAGTCTGTAGTGTCAAAGCGAGAGTAGAACATATTCAACTCATTGGCAAAGTTCAAGTTATCTGCAACACTTATTTCTGCTTGTTTCTTATCTGTCTCAATTATTGTCTTAACGCCCTTTCAAGCCCGTCAAAGATCACAATCAGCAAACTGTCTTTCTATTTTTGACTTGTATTGAAGTTTACATTAATCCATGGCATGTGATATTTCTTTCTGAACAGATTAAACCTTCAACTTGTCCCCAACACAAAAAGCTCTTTTCTTTCCATTTAGTATTGACTTAAGTTCTTTTGTCATCCACGGCTTATTGTTCAGAAAGATCTTGATAGTTTTTGAAGGCACAATACAGTCAATACAAAAGTTTATGTAATGAGTGACAACATCAAGCAACTCGTCAAGGTCCGTGCTAGATTTCTCAAACACATCCCAAGCTATACAATCAAAGCACCCTTTCAATTGATCAAGAGAATGTGATTTCACTGAGTTTAATGTTGGTTTGTCGGATTTTAATTTTTTCTTTTAGGTAGGGTCTAAATAGACTGAATTGTGATCAGATGTTCCAAGTGGAGCTTTGGCATTAGATTTGAAAGCGTCCTTGACATTAGCGTACCACAGGTCAATCGTCCTATCTTTCCTCGTTGGGGCATGTAACATATTGACTGTAGTGAGGCAATGTTTTCTTGAGACTGCAGTAATTAAAATCCCTTAGAATACATTTTAGTGCATCAACATAGAGGTCATCATGTTTATCCACACGTTTATAAATAATGTCAGCAGCCCATACACAACACTGACAAATATCTGTCCAAATTCTCTTGAAGATAGAAGGGTCATAATGAAACAGACAGTAACTCCACATCTTCGGTACACACCATGCCCCTTACTATAACGTGATTATATCACCTCTGGTTTACATATATACACACGCCATCTCCGATAGATTTTGCTGTTATGTTGAGGTCTCTATCATTTCTGAATGGTGTTTCGGAAACCATCAATTTTGAGACTAGAGTTCTCTATGTCAGCGTTTAACCAAGCTTTAGTGAAACAAAGTAGGCAGCTTTCTTGGAATTCATACATAAACTTCAAACAGGCTTGTAGTTCATTTAGTGACGTCTTAGAGAATGCACATTTGCCACCAAAATAGTAGGTCATGGAGATCTGGTTTTGCGTGATTTTATTCTTTCGCCTCAGTCTGTCTCTCTTACCTCATTTACGGCACAAGCCTGTCCTTTCGTCCTGTGTACATTATAAGGGTAATAACATATGCAAGTCTCTGACATTGGTGTATCCAATAAGCTAGAGTAACTGTTCCCTTTCGGAGCGTATGGTGATAGAGGCACGATGGCTGCCATGTTATGTTGTGAAAACAACAAAATTAACAATATCATCACTGTCACAGTGATAGTAGTCCTTTTCCCTATTGTAAATAACTGCAGATACAAGAATGACTTAGCAGCAATCACAATAAGCACAATATGCATAAAAATCATTGAGCGTTTTCCAACCGTGTGTGTCGCCACAGTGCAGCGCCACCTCAATCAACTTTAAGATTGTGAGAATATGCGGGAAATTCCAAACTTGACCCACCTGTTTGTAAAATGGACTTGTTCGACATTTCCAGGGTGGATTCTGTTCAGAGAGTCATCATTATGAAAATTTTGGTAAATATTTTTAAAACTTGTACATTTTATCAACATAATGTTGATATTTCGTATGAGAAATAAACCACTTGTGGTTGTTGTTTATCATACAATAAAACACTGCAGGGAGAATAAACTGATCGGGGGCTGCACACCTCATGGTTTATTCTTTCTGCAGTGTTTTATTGTATGATAAACAATTCTCTCTTGTTGTTATTTTCTTAAATATCAAATGTTCATAAGACCACACTACACATGTGAGATATGGGATGGTTGGGTGAGAAATTAGAACAATCACAATTAGAAGCTGCATGCATTGTTAGTGGTCTACCTATTTCATTATCAGACCGAAATTCTAAGATTACTTGTTGTAATGCTTCTTTTTAAAGCACCATCCAATGTCATTTGCATGTGTTAGAAAACACGTGCAGTCAATTAAAGTATGATTTATACTGAATTGGTGTAAAAGATCACCTGAACTGTACATGTTCAAATACATGTGAAAATGCATTGCATTATCTCATGGAATGAACATTGTTTAGACATCAGCGTGAAATTATGTTTAACAGCCTTAAAAATATTGTTCATAACATACCTGTTGATGTAAACCTATTGGTCTATGGCAAAACATAGTCATGTTGTTACAGATAATGAAGCTATGTTTAAGGCAGTCCAACAAAATATATATATGTGCTACTAAACAATTTCATTCAACAATGCATTTCTCTCCTCCTTCAAACTCCCTCCTTGCCTCCCCCCTCACCTTTTGCATCGTATCATATTGGCCAAGATAAGGTATTGAACTGGCCTTGTTTTCTGTTCTAAGCACAGATTTTGCAAATATTGAATGATTTTTTTGTCTTCCTCTAGCAACAAACACACCTGGTACTACCTAATCTTCACATGGATTCAGAATACCTTTTATCAGTAAAGGCTGTCAGCCAGGGCGGCAGAACATCGGCCACAGTACTCCTGGTACTTGGTGAGTGCATAATTCCAACGTATACCGGTACACAAATCTCATTACCAACTGCCCAAAGCTTGATGCATAATTTTCTGACATCTGAAATAATATAAGAGCTGTGCCCATAATGAAAATGGTCAATAAATAAACATTGTTTTGGAAAGGACAGTTCACTTTTATTTCTTGTGTGTGAATGTCTTGAGTTAATCAATACAGTAATCAGCTGCTGCATGAAATGGTTGATTTGTCAGATATTGTGTAATACCTTGTTGTGGATACTGTTTCAGGAGCTCCCTACAAAGGCATTATGGGTATGGCAGGAAGTAGCAATATATCAATAAGTAAGTAACCATATCTTTATACCGTTTGATGCCCACTCTCACAGGTGATGAGTCCAACAATTGCAACAAAACTGTTGGGAAATATATGGGAGTCTTTTGTGGCAGCCTGTTGATGGTGGTAAAATGATGAAGAAAGGTATAAGAGATTAAATAGTAAAATAAAGTGTAACTGCTTAAACCAGTTCATTTACTATAATTTAGAAGTAACTTGTATGCTATGGACTACTTTAAATAATGAAATTAATGCGAAAAATGTGAATGTCCTGAAGCAATGCATTCTTACCTATCATATTGGAGCTTTAGTTCAGGTTCTCTGCCCAGAAACATGATAGGCCATAACAAAGTGCCCAATAAACAATTTAAGGATTAGATGGTTTGCTTCTCATGAAGTAACTTGTCAAATATGGTCAGAATTCAGTATATGACATGGTAGGACAGCCTTGTTGTGAACGTGTTTTCTTGACATTCAGAAGATATCCCTGTATAGATTAATAATATTTGAAGCCCCTGTCATGCAGGATCATTGCTATAGGATGTATAAAACCTCAGTTATTCTATAAGTGCTGAAAAATCATGGTTAATGCATACTGCATGGAAAATACAAATCACACTAAACTGTGAATTAGGAAATATATCTTTGGTTTAAATTGTTACATGTTGACTTCCAAATTGAAACAATAAATTAACCCACATATCTATACATAAAAGAATTCAGTGTTAAACCAACAAACAACAAAGAAATTGTATACAAGTAACAATTATATTATTAAATTAACTAGGTATACAAATCAATACAAATTATTGCACTGCTATTACAATTTTAGTACACAATAGAGTGGCAGTGCAAAATTCAATGGCAGTAAAAAATACAAAAGCAGTGCATTGTGATAGCAATAAGTCAGTGATAATAATATTTCACCTAGCAACAACAGTGGTCAAGCTTCCATACAACCCTAGGCTGGATATCCAAGGTGAAAACAATGATCTTCACACGACAACTGGTCTTGATGTAATGTGAGATGTAATGTGATACATGCTCTTGACCCATTATATATAGTCTAAATACCTTCCGAAAGGTTCTATAAAGTGCTGAAGTAGTCTAGCTGTTCTAAAAGATTCCAGATTACACTTTACTCCTAAAGCATCTAAATATAGTAACTTCCACACCACTACTTACATTAGATAGTACTACATTCCTGACAACTAACATTTTCAAAACACAATGCTATGAGCTTCTACTGAATCTCGATAGAAATAATTACAACACTACACTGCCATGTAACATAATATTGATTGTATGTTAAAAGATGTAAAATGATTATGCTGTACTTTGAGATTAAGAAATATACTTTCAGATGAATACAGGTATTCACAGAGTATCATTGATGCAAAATAAATGTTCTGTCACTTGTTTGCTTGGACGACATTACGTCATTAATCAAATTAATTCGCACAACAACAAGTACCACAACATAGGCAAATATGTAGGTATTGGTTAGGCCACCGGATCTCGAATCGAATCTTTGAAATGGTCCTTTAAACAATGTCAGTTTTTGTTGAGGGTATCATAAAGTTGTGTAACTAATTTTGGCAGTTCAACCAAAAATATTTTTTTAATTTGAAGTTTACACTATATACGTTTTTTTAATTGGATGATAAGTTGCTCAACTGACCGTGAAATTGACATTCATAAGTGTATGAACGACACAATTTGATGTTCATATGTTTTTCATGAGACCGTGTTCTTGAAATAACGTAAACACTGGCGGACTACTTCCACATTCCTGGGAAAACCCCTGGGAATTCCCTAGTACGAATACGTACAGAAGCGTTCTTTGTGATCATTTAGACCCTATAATGTTGAACTCAGCGTTTTAGTATACATTGAGAAACATCAGAGTTTGACTGCACAGTCGTTCACAAATATCCTCCCTTCAACCCATCCTACTGAACAAAACGAAGAAATGCAGATCCAAACTATGGTAGTATCGACTCGATCTGTATCTAGGCCGGCAGTGACCGCCTACAGCAATCTATGAGTTTATTTTAGTGTCTATTTGACACATCTTTAATCACCTTTCAATGATCGGCCAATTGATCGATGATTACTAAAACATGTAACCTAGTTCATTAGCAACTCCCCAAATCTCTCCTGTCATGTTTATCGTGTCGGCCATCTTGTACTTAATGTAAATCTATTACGATGCGCTGTCATTGTGACTGACATACTGAGGTAGTTCTTAACAGACCTTTCTCATCTTATGGTGATATTATTTGAATACATGTGTTTCATAAGACGTTTCTGAAGAGCAAGTTGTGCATCCATACGCTCATGTCACCTCTCTTTTTGAGGAACTATTTTATTCCGCGATATAGCTGGTTGTTGTATGGCTGTCAGTGTAAACATGAAGTCACATGTACAAAATAAAATTTACCTTTGAGGTAAGAAAATGTAATTTACTTTCACTTTGGTTCATATTCCAATGAACTCACTCAAAATGAAAGTAAATTCTTAATTAGTCTCAACCATGTTAGTACCATAAAAATTTCTAATGATGAAGACAGCTCCTCATTTGCTTCTGGTGCATTGCCATGGTTGATGATACCGTCTTCAGGACGGAGTAAAGTGTCCTCACAATGGTCTTGAATCTTTGATGCAAATCATCTGGACTCTTGAATTGGGTTGAGTTGATGTGGCAAAGTCAATGAAATGAGCACCTGTTGAATGAAATGTCCAACCTATTGACTTTTATTCATGCTATTTCATGAAATTATTAGGCAATAATTGATAATTTGGCCAAGCATGAGTTCTAAACTGCTTACGTGTATTTGTTGTGTATTTTGTCTGGGGCATCTAGGACATTTTTACCATCCTCTGTCATGCCCCTGATTGCTGAAGCCCTTGTTTTCTTTTGCCAGGTAGCCCCCATCAATTAGACATGGGGCGAAGTTTGTGTCCAATGAGTTTAGGAGATAGTTTCCGAATCTCCATCAAATTTACTGTCTCTCTCTTCAGGCACTACTGCTTGTGCGTCGGCCATACTGATGAACTTGTTTAATATGTTATCCAGGTGGTCTTCCATCTGACCTGTTGACCATGTCACATGTGACAGTCTGTGTGACACTTTGTCAGACATGTCCATTGAGACTTATATTTGTAGTTGTTGTATGTGACTTCCTGTCATCTACACATGCGCAGTAATTATCTTCTCAACAATCATGCTTGTTGATGATCAGAAACAAACAATCCAGATATAACTGAGAAAGTTGAGTGACTATCTAGATGTATTTGAAGGTTTGGGGTGCCTACCAGGGACTAATGTAATCAAGCTGAAAGCTGAACACACTCCAGTGATTCCCATCCCCGAAAACTTGCTCTTGCATGCTCTTCGTCCCAAAGTCAAGGTGCATCTAGACAGAATGGAGAGCTCAGTTGTCACAGTGAGACAAGTAGGCCCAACTGAGTGGGTGGATGGCATGGAGGTAGTGGTGAAGCCAAACCAAGTTTAGATTTGTCTTTAGTTTGTAGAGAACACAACCCTATGAAGACCATTGAGGAAGTTGTAGTTCTTATGCTTAAGCTACAGTGTTTTGATGTTTCGTAATTGGATGCAGTTTCCTGATTTTGGCAGATTTATTTAGATGAAGAATCATCAAAGCTGTGCACTTTCAGTACCACCATTGAAAGGTATAATTTCATGAGAGTGCTGTTGGTGTTAAGCCTGCACCCAATATGGTAAAAGATTTGCCAGGTGTTGAAGCTAAAATGGATGATATAGTGGTGTGGGGTGTGGGCAAGACTTCTGCAGAGAGTGAGAGAGAATAACAGTTAAAGAAGTTCGGAGGCACTAGGACGGTCATGCATGGCTACAACTGCATCATTACAGGACTGCATCAGGACTAGAGCTACATTGATACAAATCATCTAGTATTGCCTACATCAAGTCTTCCCAACAGCCGAATATAAACAAAGATTCAGTTCAGTGATTTTATCTAAATGTCACATAATGCCTTTCAACCCTCTAAAAGTGAACTGAATGGGCCAAACCAATACTGTTGATGCCTGTTGATCAGTTGTATTTTAATGGATACATATCAGTCATAATCTGCATGCCCTCATAAGCATGACAACATCAACATTGGTACGGGGTAGCTTGGGGTCCTCAGATCAACTTGAGAAAATTTGATTTGACTGCAGAATCTAGTCAAGTTAAGATCCTATGTAGTTAGATGAAGTAAGAGTATCCGACAGTATCAAGTTAAGACCAGATGTTGTTAGATGAAGCAAGAGTATGAGATAGTCTCATGTTAAGATCACATGTAGTTAGATGAAGTAAGAGTATCAGATAGGCTCACGTTAAGATCACATGTAGTTAGATGAAGAAAGACTATCAGATAGGCTCACGTTAAGATCACATGTAGTTAGTTGAAGTAAGACTATCAGATAGTTTCAAGTTGACACTTCCGACTCCGTCAAATATGGCGGAATAATCATAAACAATAATTTATCCTGTAAAGAAAGAATCATGACATGTTGCTCAAAAGCAAGAAAAAGTGTTAATTCACTACGATCACTCGGCCTCAACGACTCAGACCTCCACCCAGTTGCATGTGTCAATATATGGAAAAGAATGATTTTATCTACAAGCTTTTATGGATGTGAATTGTTACCAGCCTTTTACGGTAAAGAACTTGAAATGATTGAATGTACACAACGTTACTTTGCTCGTCATATACAAGGATTTGGTAAAAGACATCCAACCGATTCGTCTATTTCTAACTTGGGAATGTGGTCAATGAATGGCTACATTGATAAATGTAGACTACAATTATTAGGAAGGCTCTGCAATAACGATTGTAACTCAATAACAAAAGACCTATTTTGTGCTCACATTGCTACCAACGCTTTTGTCAATATTAGCCGTCCAGTAAGCATATGCAACATCCTTCTATATACTGCTAAAAAATACCATTTGGATAACTATATAAAGGGATATACT